TTTTTGGTATGAAAACGCTTAGCTGAAACAAATTAAGTACATCAGGAGACAGGCGGTCCTGGAGATCACTTATTATTGAATCTAGAAGAGGGATGTATATAGCTCTGCGGAAATACTCTTCAGCAGATTGAGCAGGTTGGTTATTGGCCCAATGTATTTGTTTTGATACTATTCTGGGGCATTTAATTTCTACATCTAGCTGCTCAGCTACTTCTTTAGCCACTTCAAAAAGCTGTCGGTAGATTACGTCCACATTTTCTCTTTTATTTTGTAAAACACTTAAAGTATCATTAATAGCGTCCGTAGCTTTTTTTAAATCAATTGAGTTCGATTGCAGTATTCTGCTTAAAGATACATGAAAAATAAAAAGTAAGTGACTGTGACTGTAGTACATAAACTAAGAATTTAACTTAACATATATTTAATATATATATATAAATATAACGCAATACTTTACATCAAAGTTTTCGCTAGGTGCTTTTAAAAATTTTAAGCAAGATTATAAGTTTATACATGCTATATTCATTCTGTTGGTTGCTCTCTTATTTTATTTTTAAAGAGCATTAAAATAAGTGTGGTCACGACGATACAAGAGATACAAGATTTTAGATTAGGTCGGTAAGCTTGATGCTCTTCAATCTCCATCGTCCAAAAAAAAATACCTATAGGCATTGAATTATATGTACTACGTACTAGAGAAGCCATTCCGAACATTGACTATGTACAACTGAACTGTAGTGCAATCCATACAAACTAAATATTGCGTAAATTGAAGATTTGTGAATTCCATAAAATAATTATTATTACATTTTATTTAGAAATATGTGTTTAGATTAAATTAAGATATTTTATATTAAATTCTTATATTTATTTTATATTAATATCTTATTTTATATCAAATTAAAGTATTCGCGCATACGCGACTACTACTCCCGCGCATGCGCGAAGACATAGAGTAGGACACAATTTTTGTTTGGAATGGCTTCTCTAGTACGTACTAGGGTAAGGAGTACAATGATTGGCCCTTTAAGGTGATCATTGACTTTGAAAATTTCTTATGCCTAAATAAGGTTCATAATCATATAACATTTGCTGTCAAGTTGTGTCTTAAGAACCTGGGAAATTGAATAAATCAAAACCATAATCATTTTGCATCTAATTAATATTTTTATTGCAATAAACATAAAAAAGGAGCCAAAAGTACAATCATTGGCCATTGGTGTATAGAAATTGGCATATCAAAAGTATAATTATTGGCATGTCATGTCATGTCAATCATTGTACTTTGTGTTTATTAGCACTGCCAATTATTATACCATGTTAGGGTCAATCACTAAAAAAAATATAATATTTAACGATAGTGATGTGCAGGGTATAATTTTTTTTATCGATTTATATTTACATTGAGCTTTCGTCCATATTTAGGTATTCATTATTAAGAAAATTACTAAGTTCTTCTTCATTACGGAATGTCTCTCTTCTGTTTAGTATAGAGTTGGGTTTGGATAAAACGAATGGTACCTTTGTATCAATGCAACTGTTTTCATTAAAAATATTTCTTGGATTATGCATAACTGGCGCCTTCACAACAGACAAAATTTTAATGTTACTTTCTTTATTAGGCTTTGGAGTAGTTTTTTTAATCTGGTCTATATCTAATAACTCAGTCTTGGTATCATCACACTTAAAAATATTGTTCTCAGTCTCTTTATCACATACATCTATTTTAATTTTTTTACTGTATGCAGTGGTTATTGATTTATCATATTTTCTTTTTCGTTCTTTTATTTCGGTTTTTGTTTCCTCTTTATTTTTTCTGTTATTTTCTTCAATTTTTGAGTTTTTATTTAATAGATGCCTAGAAACTTTTTCTTCTTGTCTTAATATTTCAATGTTTTCTAAGTTTTCCGAATCGATTTTCATATTTTTGGTATGCTTTGATATTTTTATTACGCTTTTTAATGTCTGTTTTCTTTTCTCTTCTCTCTCTTTTTTACGTTCTTCTTTCTCTTTTTCTTTTGTTTTCTTCTCATTTTTTTTCTTTTCCTCGATTTCAAGCCATTCACGGCTAGTCAAGACATAAATGGGATTGTGGGTCATAATTTTCCCTTTACGTTGTGGTGTCTGGGGCCAATTGAGAATTTCCTTTAATTTCGGTGGTGTCATTTCGTTATCGCATTTAGCATTGTCAAAATTAAAATCATATTTTTTGTTATTTTCTGTCTCTGCTATTTGGTTTTGGTTATTAATATTTGATTTATTAATAGTCTCTGTAACGTTATCTATTACTAATAAATTTGGGTTTGTTATTTCATTTGATTCTTTGTTTAGAACATTAACAGTCCCTGTACTTTCGCTCGGTTTTTCAACATTATACATTTCAGCAATAGCTTTTAATTTAGGCGACATCAATTGATTAGGGCCTTTAACGACATTATCACTGGTAGGTTCCAGAACATTTAATATTTCATTTTTTAAGTCATTTTGTGTGTCTGAATCTGAATTCGCTATAAGTTGGCTCTGTTTGTAATTATTATTCATTTTAATAGTATTCCGAATATCTGCTGACAAATCGTAGGACTCTGTTAGGTTTAGGGTCTCCAAATCGTCAAATAAGTCTGTTGTAAGTAATTCAGTATACTCTGTAGTTTCAGTTTCAATAGTGTCAGTATGAGATTCTTCAATATTATTGGAGTTTGAAATTACGATCGGTATGTCATTTATTGTAATCAATTCATTTTCTATTACTAAATAATCGCTTGAAGTAGTACTGTCTTCCTGTTCTATATCTTTACCCTTCAAATGGTCGTATATGTCTTTTAGTGCTTTGTAAAAACAATTTGATTTATCGGGTGTCTCAGAAGTAAGACGGGATACGATGTTTTGTCCCACGATTTTTTCAAAGTCTGTGAATGTAATTGCCCTTTGTGGTCTGTTTTCTTGAATTCTGGTCGATTGGGTCACATTTTTGCCAAGGCATTTTTGGTAGTTAATTGCATTTGGATTCCAAGGATACAATCCACAAGCTCGAAATCCGTTTATAATAATTTGTTTGTCTATATATTTCTTTAATACAATGCTTAGTATTGGACCAAAATCAATTTTTGTCAAATTTTTTGTTTTTTTTTCCATTCTAATACTCCTTTTTTCCATGCACTTTTTATAGGCTTAAAGGCAGCTACATCTGCGGGTTGTAAGATGCGAGTCGCGTTTGGGTATAATGCTATAAGTATTATACCTCTTTCTTTGCATGCTTTGCTAAGTTCAAAATTGATATGACTTTTGTGTCCATCAACAAACAGAAGAATGGGGAATTTTGTATTTTCTTTTACAAGATGTGGATGTAAAACATGAGTAATGTATTGTAAAAATAGATCTTTGTTCATCCATCCATTTGATGACAGACCTATACCCCATTCTGGTGGTACAGACGCCGTAATATCTGCTCTGTTACGTTTGAGTGGGTAGATAATCATCGGTGGTGTAATAACTCCGGTAGCCGAAAATGTGAACATCACTGTCAGTCCACATTTCGCAGGCGCGTTATCCACTTCATACACGTCGCGAGTACCTTTTAGGGCTAAAACTTTGGAGGTTTTTGGACATAACAAGAAATTTGTTTCATCACCGTTAAAAATACGTTTAGGATCTCGTAGGATATGCAGGAATTCTTCTTCTTCTAACCAAGTTTCAATTTGCTGAAACCATTTTTTGATGTTCTTTTCTGATACATTGGCACTTGCCGAAGTAACAGCTTCAGCCGTTCTTTGTACTATTTCGGGGTGACGTTTAAGAAACAACTTGTACCACCCCTCTCCTGGCTTATTATCTATAAAATTATTTGGCCTAGGTGATTTCTTTAGAAAGTCAGTAACACTATGTAATAGATCTTCTTTACGCCGTGGAAAACCTTTTCTACTGCTTTGTATTATCCACTCAACCAAAGTGTTTTCCTCGTCATTTGTAAGGATTGTAGGCGGACCCGGTCTCGTTTTTAAAAAATTCCCTTGTAATCGAAACTGCAAAGTTCCTCGAGGTATCCCAAATACTTTGGCAGCTGCTCTTTTAGACATACCATTTTGAATTGCTTGGATTGCCGCTTCTAAATCTTCCTCAGTATATTTTTTTTTATATACTTCTCCTTTTGCAGACTTTGGCATTTTTCTGCAACAATGTATAAGCTAATTTTTTTTGTAAAAATCACAATGGTGTTTTTAAATATTGACTTGTTTTATTAGTTACTATATAGAACTTACGAAAAAGTAGAAATATAGCATGGAAACAAAAACTAATAAATTATTTTTGAAGTAAAACCAGATATATATGCTATACTAAAAAGATAAGAAAAATCTTAGGTTTCAAAAGTTTTAAACGATATTAAGCTGAATTAAACAACACATGACATTTGTGTGTGAACATTCACCAAAATGCTCAGGCAAGGAATTAGACATTTAAACATGCGTTTAATATGTAACCCATAAAAATACATTAATAAGTATACATAATTTAGTATTTAATTTAATTTAGTATTTACGCAGCCAGCGTTCTTGGCACGATAACGCGGGGAGTAGGACTATATGATATTTAAGTTTCTAGTTTTAATTTTTTTTTAATTATTATTATAGTTTTTAGTATTGTAGATAAAAATAAGTATTATTAAAACATCCATATTGGATTAATTTAGTATCGACATCGGTACATCACTGCGTATTTAAGATCTCTTTGTACAAAAATTAGCATAGCTAAAAGTATAATGATTATCACGGCTAATAACGTAAATGTATAATGATTGGCCCCGCCAAAATATAGTTACTGCGAACTTATGACATTTTGATTATTGTAATTTAAAAGGGAGTTGTCAGTAGCATTTATCAAAAGCTTAAAATATTGGAATTAATTTAAAACGCTTATTAGTATTATTGGCAGGGATGTCAATCAATTAATCTTTCATATTAACCATGGATACTAACTTTGGCCTACTTATTTTTAGGTTATCTTGAGTATTTTTCCATCAATTATAGTATAAAAATCTAAATTGAATGGTAATTAACATATAGAAATACATATCTCACAATTAGAATAAGAAGAAAACGGGTAAATATCAATATAAAAGTACTTACTTCTTACGATTTTCGCAACAAAACACTCCCTTAGTTGTAGTAGCTGCAAAGTGATTTTTTTCGAGTGTTGCTAGCTGTTAAGTTTTAAAACTACCAGTTACGTTCTAGAGTGTTGTCATCAAAGAAAAATATAACAATTTTTTTCTACCTTGTACTCCAGGCTAACTCTTAATATATTGATTTTACATTCGAGAGGCCAATCATTGAGGGGGGGCCAACATTACTACTGCTTACCCTACATATAACTCAATGCCTACAGGTAGGTACATAAGTCACGCAGCACTCTTTCATTAAGTAGGTACCTACATATCTACCTATGAGGTACTTTATGAACATTAACAACAATAACATTTAAGTTAAAACACACGCACTGGAATAATGAGAAACTGATTACTTACCATTTCTTGTAATTAATGAATTTGCAGCAACAATTTTTAAGAATACTTATAAAGGTACACTTACAAACACATTACAAGTAGAAAGAAATATTAGTTTTTTAACTTAGAACTATGTTATGATATCGCTTGTTTGCGAGAAGCTTGACATAATTCAAAAATCAGCAGTTTTGAGTTAAGTATACAGGTGAACGCAGAAAATTTTGTTCTATTTGCTGCAAAAACGACATTACGCTAAGTACAAAAATGAGAGAGCGAGAGAGGTTGTGCCCTTATGTTCCGTCGCAATCTTACTGCTGCTTTGTTTCGAGACCGTAGCATCTCAGTTAGCGTGGAAACGTTTTAGATTGTGCACGTGCTTGATTTCAGCGACGACGACAAATGTTGTGTTACGACGTTCTTTTTACAAGGTAAGTCAATAATATCACGTAACCCTTTAATAGAAAGATGTCATTACTATACTTATGACGACCTTTTATTTGAAATACGTTTAAAAAACCACCGTCATATTTTCCGTTAAGTCGTTCTTTCTGGAAACACAAACAGATACCGACAGTCATAATTCGTTATTGTACATTTTTGATAGCAAAAATAAATCAATAGACTATTTCAATAATGTCATATTATAAGTTACATTGTTATTGTTGTTAAAGTCACAGAATATTTCTTGATGTTATTTGCACTATTTTATATTAAGTCATTATTGATAATAATAATTTTATGTTTAAGGTACTTCTTTGATAGTCATGGATTCCAGTTTAAGAAATAGCAGAGGGAGAAAAATATTGGCTTTAATTAATCACCGTGTAGATGGACCTCCGAAAACAGTGTCAGATGAAAAAGGTTAATTATAGTTACTTATTTATAACCTATTTTTCCTAATTCACTTTGTTTGTTTTAATTTACTTGTTTACTTGATTTTTAGAAAACGATGATACCAATGAAATTGAGGGCAATGTTTCTTCAAAGGAACATAGCAGTGGAAATACTCAACGCAGTCGCTCCAACAGCTCCTCTTCCTCGAGCTCTTCCAATAGCAGCACAAGTCCTTCATCATCTACTTCATTCATTGAAGGTCATTTTTCAGTTTTATACCAATTTACGAATTTATATTTTCAAATATGTTTCTATTTATTCAAGGCCTGCTTAGCAGAGATAAGTTGGTAGTAGTTAAATAATATTACTATTAGACCGTTAACGTTTCTTTTCTTTTACAGATAGTGATGATTCCGTCAAGGATCCTCCCTACCAACCACCTGACAGTCAAGCCCCCGTGTCTCCAATAATGTTTGACTACTTTAGTGAAAATGATAATGAACAATTTAGACAGTTGCCGGTACAATCAGATTTAGTCATAAGCAGTGACGCTAATCATGTTCCAGATCAAGAAAATGCAATAAAGAAAAGAGGAAAACGTAAAAGAGATGAAAATAACTGGCAAAAGAATGTTATGAAAAAACTAAGAAATGAAGGAAAATCCTATGTGAGTACTTCTAAAAAAATTGTACCAGCGCGTAAAATTAAAAATGCCTGTTTTGAAAAATGCAAATTGAAGTGCAGCACAAAGTTTACTGAAGCTGAAAGAATGTCTATATTCGATGATTATTGGTCGCTAGGCAGTATTTTAAAACAGTGGAATTATATTTCTAATTGTATAGAGGATATAAAACCTAAGTATCGCTATGTACGTGAAGGTGGCACCAGAGAAAAGCGCCGGTACAATAGTGCATTTTATTTTAATTTGCATGAAGAAAAAATAAGAGTCTGCAAATTGTTTTTTAAAAATACGCTTGGAATCACAGATCGACCTATCCGAACAGTCTTAGATAAAAAAATAAAGTTGCAGGGAATCTTTTAGCAGACGATAATAGAGGGAAACACAAAAATCACGCAAAAGTTGATGATACTATCCGTAAAGCAATAAAGGAACACATTGATTCTATTCCCAGAATGGATTCCCATTATTGTAGAGCCACCTCTTCCAAAGAATATATAGATGGTGGTAGATCAATTGTCGATATCCATAAAGATTACATAGAAATCTGTAAGTCTAAAAACATTCCATATGGGAATTATACTCTGTTCTACAGAATTTTTACGGAAGAATATAATATTTCACTATTCCAACCAAAAAAAGATCGTTGTGATTGTTGTGTTGCTTATGATAACTGTGAAGGCGAAGAAAAAGAAAAGAAGAAGCAAGAATATGATACGCATTTAAAAGAGAAAGACCTATGCCGAGCAGAAAAAGTCAAGGATAAGGAAAATAAAGATGCAGTTGTCGCTGTTTATGACATGCAAGCTGTGTTCCAATGCCCCAAAGGGGATATCTCATTATTTTATTATGTAAGCAAGTTAAATGTCTTTAACTTCACTATATACGATCTTCATTCTAAAGATGTAGAATGTTATGTTTGGGATGAAGCTACAGCCAACAGGGGCGTTAATGATCTGGGCACCTGCCTATTTAAATATTTACAAAATCTGGCCCAAAACAACAGCACAGTGGATGTAATATTTTATACCGATAACTGTGTGGGCCAGTAAAAAAATAAAATTATGTTGTCTATGTACATGTTTGCTGTGCAACATTACCCAAACATAAAAACAATTACTCACAAATATTTAATTAAGGGACACACCCAAAACGAGGGTGACTCTGCGCATTCCCTCATTGAAAGGCAGTTTAAAAAGCAAATCAGAAGTGGTCCAATGTACACCCCTGAGGCCTTTATTAGTGCAATCAAAGTTGCTAGATCAAACCCTACACCTTTTCGGGTAAATAAAATGAACAATGATGATTTTCTCGATTGGAAAGATGTCTGTTCTCAAATGGGTGTAAACATAACAAAGGATGAAGAAGGAAACACTATCAAATTTGCAGACTTGAAAGTTGTGAAAGTAGATAAAAATCATCCTCGAGCCATATTTTTTAAAACTTCTTATGAACAGCAAGAATTTAAAAAAGCAGAAGTGATAAGAAAGAAAAATCTGTAGATGTTGAAGTGAAAAAAGCGTATGACGTAAAACCAGGATTAATTAAGAAGAAAAAAGACGGTTTGTTGGAGTTGATCAGAAAAAATGCCATTCCCAGATATTACGCTCCTTTTTATAACTCTCTTTAAAGTCGTAATTTAAACATTAAGTTGATTTTTTAAATATTTTTTTAATCAGATACGTAAGTAAAATGTTCTTCATCTTAGGATAAGTCCAATTATTTGCTATAAACAATGCTTCAGTGATTTAAAGTTTATTTGAAAGTTATTATTAAATTAGATAAGACCAATGTTAAAGTGATTTAAGTTTAAGTGTAAGTTATTGTTGATTATTTTATTTCTTAAGTACCTAGTTAAGTTACCTACAGTAAATGTTGTGTCTATTTAACTATAAATTAAAAGGCTGATGATAAAGATAATTGTTTTCAATAATGACTTAATGTCATTAAAACCTCATCTGAATAAAATACTTATTATCAATATAGACTTATGTTTAAATAACACAAAAAAAATATTATTTTTTATCCGTAATAACGTCACAAGTGATACCCTATTGTTGAAAACTTGAAATAATAACAAAAGTTCTTGCATTTTAGTCTTGTATTTTAGTTTAACATTGAGACTGATAAATCAGAAGAAGATTTAACATAGTCAATGTTTCAGTACATACTGTAATATACATTTATTTATTTTTTAAACTTTTAAATCATCATACCCAAAACTTGCACTTTTTGAATTATGTCAAGCTTCTCGCAAACAAGCGATATGTTGAAGTTTAGTTGTTTCAATTCCGATTGAGGTTAGGTCTAGCTAGATGTTACGTAGTCGAAAAGCGCGCGCAAGTGTGGCGCCGTAAAATTCAAATTTTCGATGCGTTCATTCCCAAACGTTTGCAATCATACAAAGTTATTATATTATATTAAATTAATTAAATATTGAAGGTGTGCAGTTACATAAAATCTGTATGGTGACAAAATATATAAATAAAATCATTATGTTCAATTAGTGGTCCACCTAAGTCCTGGAACCAGCTCAGGGGGGGGTCATGACCCCCATGACACCCCCCTTGGATCCGCCGTTGGTAGTAATTGCATACAAGTATCAATGCTAGTAGTAATTGCAATACAGTAGCTATTGCATGTGATCCTAATAAATTGAAAAACCATGTTTCTGTTTGTGGGAACAGACTAAGAATTAAATAATTATAAATGTTTATTGAATTGAACTCGATTTGTTATAATGGAGCATTTTACATAAAAGTAAACAAGAGTTTATAAATAATTAATATGCTTTACGAAACTTTTAAAAGCACCCTTTATTTTGAATTTCATATGTAAATTACAAAACAGATATTAATGGCTATTAAAATTACGAAATAGTTTGTATAGTAGTAGTAGTTTTGTAGAAAATATATAATTGTGAAAAGTTCTTAAATTTTCAAAATAAAAATGGAAATCAGTAGGTGCATGATCTGGCAATGCGGTGGATGAAGAACAATGCCTGGGAAGGCGTTTTCGTTAAGAATTTGTGAACTAGAGCGAGTGCAGATGACGGTTATTCGTTAGAAACCTTTTTTAGGCTTCGTTTACTACTTTTGCCTGTATACCTACGTAATATACGTTTTTGTGCCAGATCTGAAGAATCTGTAATGTATAATGACAAAACATACCCATCATTATTGAGCCAGACTTGTTTTGACTTAATTTCTTTGTATGGAACATGCTTTGCTGTCTGCTGCCTCGTCTAGGTCCAAGTACGTTTCCAATTATACGCAAATACGTTTCCAATTATCATACAAAATTCACTTTTATATTCAGTAACAGACTTGTGGTGAGCTGCAATGATGATGATGATTAATTTTTCACACTAAATGACATTTTGACTTTGACACCGGCCACGGTGAGCAGCGTCAAAAGTGCGAGACGTCTGGTATGTACTACGATCGCACGTCTACCTAACAAACGTGGCAATTAAAGCAAATTCTTTTAACGGCAAAACCCATCTCTAGCGGTCTAATTTTACGGGCTTATTTATTGCTACATAAAACTAACGGCTAGATAACAAATGATACCTTATCTTTTATATTCGTACATGTCTAGATTCCGTGTCGCCTTGTAACGATGACTTTATAAACGAGCCATTTTTCGCTATGCTACGCTAACTGCCTTATTTGTGTGTGTTGGGTGCCCAACTCAAAGATTCTCCCCAAAATGTAGGGAAATTTAAGGTCATGGTGCCTCTTTGCATACAAATGGAATTTCCGCAAGAATATCCGTAATATACTATATATTTTATAAGATTATTGTTTAGAAATGTTTTTACCTACGGTCTATTTAAGCATCACGCTAAACGTAAACATTTCAATTAAGGTTATTGATCTGTACGTAGCATATAATACATATACATATATCATCAATAACCTTTTAAATACCTACTAACTAAATAGGAAAAAGCATAACATAACGTAAATACGCCTGTCACTTTTTTTCCTGGACTTCTATTGGCACGACCCTGACACAACTCCCTCGCCTCCTTTTGTATCCATATATCTACGCTTACATGCTCGTCGGGTAAGGGTACTCATAATTGAACAAAATAAGAACAAGAAATTTAATGGGCTTTATACAAAGCCGAGTCCTCAGTCATTACCCAATGACTGACTGTGAAACACGGAATGGTTGATGTTATAGTAAACAAGTGCGAATCGGACTCGCTCCGTATAAACATAATTATGTATGTATGTAGATAGTTCATCGATCCTCCGAATTATACCTAAGTAAGCACTGAAAATTGCTTTAACGAAAAGTGAAGTCAGATTTAACAAACATTAATCGTAATTTTTAGGATATTATTGTGAGACCTTGGTTCTTGTCAAATTTCATATTTCTACTCGTAGATAAAAAGGAAATACCCTAAGGTTAATATGCGTGAGTTTGCAAGTATTAAGATAAGAGTCATAAATGGCAGTATCTTCTGATTGCGACTACTAGATAGATACCTCTACCCGTTGTTGTACTCAGTTTTTTCGTTTCAGAGTACGGGATCCTACAAATTTATAAATGTCTATGTTTTATTTTCTTGTCCCTTGATAAATACTCATTTTTTCTAGAGCTTAGATAAAATTGCTAAATTGGAGGCTTTTTTATCTTTCGATTTTATTAAGAGAGTGTTATGTATTATCAAAAGCAAATATGTATGTTGAGTTTTTTTAATGTATGTATAACTTAAAATTCTCCAGGAAAACTGTACCACATTTAAATTGAATAAATACAACATATGCTTATTCTATATATAAAAAAACCCAAATATTAACTTTCTACATGTCTTGAAACAATCTTATCGCTGCGCATTATCATATTCAGAACTATGTATTTTCAACTAATTGATTGAACAACTAAATAGCTGAGTCAGCTTTTGAAATATAGATATTATTTTTTTAATAATATTAGAGAGATAAACGGGCTAACAGCCTTGTTGATGGTGAGGGCAGTCCATTAACTTCTGCAACCAAATTTTATCGAAGAAATAAATGTGAAAAAAATGTTGTCCAAAAATGCTTTGCCATCCCTGAAAACTAGAACGGAAAGTGTCACAGCCTGTAATTGAACTGGCTCTTTTACCCTTTAAACTAAAACAGAAAAGTTAAGTTAAAAAAAGAAAAGGCAACCATCCTATCAGAAGTAGGCAGAAAATGAGCCACATTAGTAATATATATAGTAATATATCCTTAAATAATAAAATTTTCTTTTGTATTACAGATGGGGTAATGTATTTATCTATCCTGTAATCAACTGGTCCAAACCGCAGCAAACATTAGTAGTGGCCGTGTTAACTGGCCTTTTCCTCGCACTGATGCACATTGTCACGGTTGCGCTCGCAACAGTACGAGACCTCATTGCAAGACGTTGCGTCAGCAGTTCATCAGGAGTATACAACGACGGATTCGAACCTTAATCCTAAGAGAAAAAAATATTACCTCCTTAAATCCAATAATAAACGACAGTAAATACTCCACGCCACCTGAAAAATGGCAAATGGTCCAATAGCAATACCTAAGATATGAGAGAGGGTCTGATTAAATGTGTATATTTAAATGCCTTTTGAGAATCCCATTACGTCAGATTCCATTGAATAAATCATTTGCAATGCCTTTTGTAATGTAAATAATTTAAAATGTAATCACAATGACAAGAAAACAATTCCAGGCATGTTCATAGACGATTTCGTTAGAGCAGTAATGTAGTATTATTAAGTGATACGTGGTAACTGCAGTCCATAAACATTATATTGTCCAGTATAAGTTATGTGTTAATTTATGTAAATACTTTAATGGAGGTACTTGTAAAGTGCTGACTTTAGTTAAGTTTAACCAAAACTGTGATTTATATTAAATTCGGTAATAAGCAAAAATATTAAACGAATTTATTAATTATTATACCACCTATTTAATTTTTATGTATGTATACACAAAGACTTCTATTTATACTACAATACGGGCACTAATACATTGCGAATTAAGTACGGTCAATTCTCCGTAACTTCTTTAGTAGATTGCGTTTTAGAGGACGAGAAGAAAAGTTCTTTGTTTTGTAAGCCGCGAACTTTGTTTTGAACACTGATTTGTTTAATGTTCGTATTTTCCTGAAAACAGTTATTGATGTAAATGAAAATACAACTACGTGGCATATTTACCGTGGCAGATGCAGTGGCCAGTAGTATACATAGAAATCTTTGTATACCCACTTAAAATTTCATTAATATTTATATAAAATATAATTTGTCTCATTATTCATTCAAAAGAAAAAACGCGGCGATAGATATTTCTGAAATCAAAAAACGTGTAAGAATTTTATCAGCCGCTACGAGTAATCTGACGAATGATAATACTTAACAGTTTGTTTCTTTTGACTCATAATATTGCAGACTGATTATAGCAACTTGCGTGAAAACATTACTTCCGCGACCAATATGGGTGTAATAAAGAAATATTTTAAAACTCAATTTCGCTTCCAAATGTTTATGTTAAAAGATGAAGATGTTTCTGATTTTTATTTGAGTGCTTTCCAAAAGAATCGGTCCACTGTACCCTTATTTTTTATTAGATTGATAATTAGTTTCGGTTGCATCGGAACACTTATAGCATCTGCGATGACAATCACCGATTTTGGTTATTGGCCTATATTTTTAACACACTGGGGGTTGGTTTTAAACGCAATTGCCGCTGTGCTTGGAGTTATTGTTTCCGCTCGGGCATATTTACGAGGACCTATCGGTAAGTATACTTCGTTTACATTATCCGCATAATATAGAATTTTGTTATAAACTTAAAAAATATATATCTATTTTGAAGTTGGTAAACACTTAACAAAAATTACCGAAATATGATGTACGTCTCGTGTAAACAAATAATGATAAACCGTCACCATGTTAAGATGCGTATACTTATTTTAATAAAATACAATGTAAAATATTATATGGAAATGATTTTGATCATAATTCTGATACAGAAGAAACTGAGTAAAACAAAGTCAAATATGTCAAATCAAATGGGAAATAAAAAAAATATGGCTCAAAGTTAAAAATATTCTGAACTAATTGCCGGTCAAAACAACTATTGAGCGACGAAAACAGTTTAAAGTGCTTGTGACTGCAGTCTACAGTCAAAAGCACTATTTTGTCACTATAGAATTTTTAATTCAACGCGATTTTGTTACCGACCAAACCAAAATTTACCTATTTGTTAGTTTAGCTTTATACGTAGCGAAAATCAAACTGTGGTCAATCTGGACACCTGTTACATTTATTTATAAAATGGAACATGAATAGCTGTACAGTTAGTAGAGTGTAGTCAGCGATTGTATGCGAGCGGAAAATGATAATATTATTCGTATCTGTAACATGCATCTATTGCTGCTACTACTGCTTCCTAAACTCCCTCACTACGTATACACACCATTTATTAAGAGAAAGGGTTATAACAACATAAAAATATTTTTCAAACACAAAGCTTCAATAAAACATGTTTATTGAATATAGAATGTATTATTTTTTCAGAGGCCATTTTCGGACTACCTTGGTATGTCAAGATGTACTGGGTAATGACTAATATAGCTACCACGATTGCCTTATTTATTACTGTTTTTTATTGGTCATTTTTAACAGATTTAGGTAAGATTATAAAAATACGTATCTTTTTATGATTTTTATATATATATTTTTATAGGATAAGAGTGACAAACGAGCACACAGTCCACCTGATGCTAAGTGGTCGCTGCGACCCATCGATATCTACATCTATCCCAACTAAGACTAAGATAGAATGCCTCGTTTCTAATAAAAAGAGTCTCCGGTTCTCTACACACACCATACGAAACACAGCAGCGTTAAGCTGCTATTTTACGTTGGTATTCTGTGAGAGCGTGGTCCTTCCCCGGTCGAGCCCACCCATTCATGCTACAACTGTACTACTAATATAGCTGCAGCATGGCTATACCACGTAAAAGAATATACATCGTTGATATGTCTGTTGATGATCGTGTGTCTTCTAAACGACTTGACAAATTTAGGTCGTATTCACACAACGAGACGATGGTTCATATGCTATGCTAGGATCCGATAGGTAGCGCTGTAACCAAATAATGTTGGTTTCTGGACGAAAAATCACAAGGTCTAGACTAGACTGCATAGGTGGCTCACGTTATTAATAAATATTACTTTGACGTCTGAAGACATAAAAATTCGTATTCGTAAAAGTTTCAAACAGTTCATTTTATTCTTAAGAGTAGTTAAATAGTTGTAGTTAGTATCTATTACTGTTGCAATCACAAAATTGGTATTTTAAATGTCTAAGTCCAGTTATTTTTCAGAGAATTTTTCTAGTCGAGTCAAATAAATTCTCAATGTTATTTTAACTGTTGTGTCTTGTACCGAATGCATCAAAGCAAGTTTTTAATAAATAACATGTTTAAGGGATGTCATAATACAAGAAACATTTATTTATAAAATGTTATATCATGAAAATACTATGTAATAAATAAAATTGATTTCATTTATTATTATGCCTTCACTCTTCGAATTTCAAATTTAAAATTTTCATTACCATAGAATTAGGGCTAGTAATTTTCTGCTCACCAGATGTCGCTAGTTGACACTGAGGTAAAGTTTTTGTTACACAATGTAATTTAATTGAGAAGTTGATTTTTAATAAATGTAAATCAGTTTTTAGAGTATTATATTAATACACAAAACAATGCGTCAGTGGTTTGCTCTTTAAATTTTTGCACATTTTTAACATTTTTTTTATTTTTCTACTTTTATGAATATTTCTGGTTTGATTTATTTATTTTTAATCTCATTAATATAAAATATAACCAATAGTACATAAAGAAACAATAACCTTTACTTTACACTTTAAATTAACTTCCCCGCTATGAAATCTATCAAATATTATACCTCACTTTCTAGTGGCGTCGCCCTGGTTATTACCTTTAGATGTCTACAAAATTATTTTTTCGTATACTTTTAAGGAATTACAGGGCTTAGCGGAACATTATAAGGAACCGCTGATTCATGGCATAACCTTCAATGGACTTTTACAACTGAAAACACTGGCAATTGATTTTATTAAATGTTGCCACATTTTCATTCAAATTTATTAACCATTTATAAAAATAATTGATGTGATAATTCAGATGAAGATTACGCTCCGAATGAAATTCTCGACGTGTTCATTCACCTCGTTAACAGTATATTGATGCTTGCACTACTGCTGTCTGCCCGACAACCAATGCGTCTGCTGCATTTTTACCAGCCCCTCGTCGTGGGAATTATTTATATGATCTTCAGTATTATATATTACTTCGCAGGCGGAACTAATCCATGGTATGTTTTTTTTATTTCATTTGGTACTGCGTTTGTTTGCTTGATTGTATATAACCACGCTTAAAACTAATTTCATTCATAACTTGTGGGTTTACAAATGTGCAAGTTTTTTTTAAATATATAATTCAGTGATAAATCCACCACCGAACAAAGTTCTCCCCCATAAATTGCCTCCGACTAAGAGATAAGAGACGCGGTGCTACTGCCACAGTCAAATGAGTCCCGAGTTATACAGTCGCGCTGAGTCGCATGGCAGGTTGCTCGCGTAAGCCAGCACTATGCCACAGTATAAATAATAGTACTACGTAACTATGCCTCTAAGCTATTTAACCCCTTTACTTTAATATTTTTTGCAATAAATTGAAATGTGTCAAATTAATTATAATATATTATGTTACAGGACAAATGACCCTTACATATACCCACCACTCGACTGGTCAACGCCCGGCACGGCTGTTGTGACAGTACTTATATCAATGTTTCTGATAACAATTTTAAACGCTGTATGTGCAGCACTGGTCGTAGGACGTGATACGCTGGGCCGCTGCTGTCGAAAAGATAACGAATATCCCATCTCTATTGGAAATTACTAATACACTTTAATTATATTCCTCGCAGTGAAGAATGAAATCCTTGTTTGACTCTTGTGTCGTATCTTTCTGTTTGATACAGTTACTGCCGTGCCATTGCAAATATGGACCATAAAGGTGCAGTAAGCCGAGCAATTTTTTAAGCAATAATTGTGCGACTAGCTGCCGGAGGTGTAGAGCAACTAATGGAGCAATCTGGAGCATTGTCCTAAAATTTCAGCGAGTGTTTCGGCAGTATCGCTTCTAATTGCGCCATATATTTTGTTATCTGTATTGCCATGACGTTGCCAATATAAATTGCCGTGTATCCAGTGTATATGGAAATTTAGGAAATTTAACTCAATATCTTTTATTTGATGGCTTTCATCTTGCTAGATACGTTCTCATCCAAATCTGTCCACTTTAATGTTGTCTGTTGTTGTTGTGGAATGAATGCAGTTCGAAGAATGCGAAGAATGACTTTTTTATCTATAAATATTGTATAAAAACCGTTATTGTTACACACAAACTTTATTAGAATATTATCACCACCACATATCAATTCCAAACTTACTCGTGCCATACACAAGGCTAATCAAATGATTATAATCGATTAGTGTAACGAATATAATATCTACTTCCACGACTTTATGTTGCTAATAGATTAAAATATCGAAACGTGGTTGTTAACAAAAACATATAGATTAGGATTTTTAGAACCTAAACTCTTTACGTGGATCTACCACGCTGCGGTCTGTATTATGGTTGCACCGCAAATGGATCGGCTCGACCGGGGAAGGACCACGTTCTAATTAAATAGCAGCGTGAAATAGTAGCTTAATACTGCTTTGTTTCTACCTACGAGTATATGCGGTCAGAGAGCCGGACAGCATTTTTACTCGTAATGAGGCAGTCTTCGGGGGTGACAACGCATTCCATATTTCTGATTTTTAATCGAGGATAAATGAAGTTGTCTATAGCCACAGCATCCAATTTATAATTAGTTAGACTGTGTGTTCGTTTGTCACTTCAGTTTTATAAAGAAAAGAGCCTTTAGGAAGTTTCTGTAATGAATTTGAAATCCGATAGACCTTCTTAATCTACCTATTATTTTTGAACGGGTGTCTAATGTCTAATGTCTGTCTATTGTCTATATAATATATTATATGAATATTGAATCATATAATATGTTCAAAGGTTAGTGAACTTTTATTCATTTGTACTTCGCGAAGAGATGATTATATCGTCGGAAAATAAATTTAATTCGACGCTTAATTGCATAATAAACAATAAAGTTTTCATTAAAATAGATTAAATTTTGTTTCTGAAAGGGGCCGTGTGTGACCCACCGGATGATAAGTGAGCACCACCGCCCATGAACATACAGAACACCGAAGAAATTGCAACCCTACTCATTTTCTTTAAGGGTTCTAAATAGTATTAGTCAGAATCGGAAGTTCAAAGTCCGAAAAACGCGTGGCTGATAGCTGAACCCGGGTCAACTACCGGAACAATGCCCTAACGCGAAGCTCACCTATAGAAAAATAACGGTTACTGTTTGGTTGTCACTTCATTATGTAATTTTCTATAGCTTTTTGAGATCAGGTGTATCAATAACGACAGATATCTATCCGAAAGAACTTCGAAAAAAAAGATGGTGAAACCTGCAGAGAAACAACTCTGATTCGTCAAGCACTGTCCGATAAACCGTTAAAACATTACAAGACCTGTAGTTAAAAACTATATATCATTTGGAATTGCTAGACCTAACCCAACCAAATACCATTTTTAACACAATTTGGACAATTTCCTGCGAAGACAAAAATTCTATTCTCAGGAAGTGTTATAACATATCTTCATTTAGCACGTAGGGGCCAGATCCTAAAGGTTCTATCGTAAAGTCATGAATGATTTCCCTCGAGATGGCACAAATGTATAGATAAGGAGGGTGTACTTCGATTAAATAAATATATTTTTTCGGAGAAAAAAAAAGTGTTTGATTTTTTCAATATAAAATAACAATTTCATACTTTAACCCCTAATATTTACAACGGCAATTTATCGTACAATCGTTAAGAGCATTCGTTGCTCAGGGGCTAAGTGCGTGCTGTAAATTTCACAGACACCCGGAGTCGATCACCTACGACACTAATGAAATAGTTGCTTGCAATTTTAATTATTTGGAACGAAGTTCTTTATCGGACGGTACGAATTTGCCGGATGAGAACTAGATGAAAAAAAAGTGGAAGATTTTTCCGTCACGACCCCTTCTGATGTAGTGAAGACGGCCTTGGCGGCTACAAAAAAGCGAGATGGAATAATTTAATAGCATCATTAGTATTTATAAAAAACTACGAAAGGAACTTCGTTCCAACCTGATGTTCCACGACACTCACGCTTGTTTTTTTCTTTGGTGGTAGCCACGCTGCAGCTTTATTACGGTCGTAGCAGGAATGGCTCGACTCGACCGGGGAAGGACCACGCTCTCACAGAATACCAGCGTAAAATAGCAGCTTAATGCTGCTGTATTTCGTATAGTGATTGTAGAGAACTGGAGACCATTTTTGCTGGAAACAAGGCATTCTGTCTCAGTCCTCAGGAGTGACAACGCATCTGCATTTTGATTCCAAATCGAGGATAGATGTAGATGTCTATGGGCCTCACCAACTTACCAACAGGCGGACTGTGTGCTCGTTTGTCAACCTTATTCTATAAAAATAATTAAAATAAATCCAGCTAGTATTTGGAAACATCAATAGCGTGATTTATACTTCTGAGTCATTGATATTGTGTTTCGTGTTGTGAGTGTAGAGAACCGGAGATCCTTTCTAGTGGTTACGAACGACCCTTTAGTGTTACAATTGTAATATAGCTGCAGCGTAGCTCTACCACGCATATTAAAAAAATCTTTTAAAATTACACAAACTAGCAACATCCAGTCTGCTGATAACAAAATCAAAACAGTTTGGTAATGAATGTATAAAAAACTGGTGTAATAAAAAGTTCCAATAATATATTTTTATTAAAATATTATTAATAATATTAAGACCATGGAATTTTTCAATCTAATGAAGAAGTAGCTGACGAATTTGAAAATTTTTGTAAACCATAGCTGCTGATAGTACTTGCGTATTTAATATTTGACAAAGAATTTTAATGTAGGCACAAATAAATCCAATTTTATGCATCTTAACCCCCAATGAACTGATCGAAACATTTAAATACAAAGAAAACAGAATATTATTTTATTTTATTTTATTTATTTCATACATTACATTTATTAATTACACATTACATTACGGTACAATCATAAGCGTATAGAAACATTACCGTGTACCGGTATCACTGACAATAACAAATATGAGGGTGAAGAAAAAAAATTACACTTATTATTTGTTACTAGCTTTTACCCGCGGCTGCACTCGCGTGAGCATGAAATAGGAACATCATTAAATGCTGTTCCGTGCCAAATTTATCAAAATTAGAATTATAAATATAGAAATTAGAAATTAGAGTCCCCTCGGTGTCTGTGTCTTAATGTCTGTCGAAGATATTTTATGAATTCTAAAAGACTATTAGACGTAGGTGATTGGTATTTGACATAGATATAATATGCTACAGGGACACGTGAATATATATGTCTAGAAACACCTACTATTTTTATATCGCGCGTACCTTCCGTGTAAATGTATCCATAAGAAAGGTAAATTATCTTGGAATCAATTTTTTTTTATTATTATTTACATTTTACTCTTTACATTAGTTTTAACAAAATAATGATGAATTTCATGATGTTCTATCAATTTACGGTATAATATTTATATGAGATATTTTATTCATATCATTGGTCTTATTTACTTATAATATTGATTGGCACCATAAAATAGAACTTCCTAGTTTTAATAGAGAAGATGGCTAAGTGCCACCATCTGCTAAGAAAATAATATTCAAACCCAAGCATAGTACTGCATATATTCTATTCTATTCTATTCTATTATAATTATGACATCTGGTCGTAAAACATCTCAGTCCTCCCGTGACCATTGGTGCTGTAAAGTGCCCAAAACATCGGGAATTGAAAAGGTTAAAAATAAACGCGATGAAATCCTTAAAATTAGTTTTATTTCTTATAAATTTTATTCACAATGAACGTGGGTAGCACTTCACAAATAAAAAAAATTTATTTATTAGATCAATAAGGCATAAAATGATGTCAATTCTCTTAAAAGTTCTCTTTCTTTTAAAAAATACGCTATCAGTGCCGCTAGCGGTGATAAACGATTTAATGATATCGTCATATGACTATATCATGAAATAGTAACGTTGTGTTTAGTTTTTTTTTTAATAGGATAAGGGTGACAAACGAGCACACAGTCCACCTGATGGTAAGTGGTTGCTGCGGCCCATAAACATCTACAACTATCCTCCTTTGCGAATCAAAATGCAGATTCGTTTTCACCCGTGAGGACTAAGATGGAATGGCTCATTTCCAGTAAAAAGGGCCTCCGGCCACCTGCACTCACCAAGCGAAACGCAGAGGTAAACCTCTACTTCACGCTGGTATTCTGTGAGGTCGTGGTACCACCCCGGTTCGAGCCGGCCCATCCGTGCGACAACAAAAGCTGCCGCGTGGCTCTACCACTGTTAGTTATTAATATCTTCAAACGATATCTATTCAATTATCTGATCAAGCATCATGACATGGTCAACGGTGTTAAATATCATGAAATGACCACCAAGACCATTTCAAGAAATGATATACTTCGTGTACTTTATGATATATAATCAATTCTACGATCTGGACACGACATATATATAAAAATCTCTTTAATAAAACTATAATATAATGATTTCGGCTTTATCGCATCCTCTATTAGTAAATCACGAACTACATGCGGGGCCTCTTCGTCGTGCTATTTAATTCGCGTTATATATATTTAAAAAGATTCTTCTGCATTTCTTTACAACTGTTTCCAACGATGAAGAGACGTGGATTTTTTGTGGATACTGCTTGTAATTTTAAA